TGTTTGAATTTACAAGTCAAGACTTTCCCATTAGCCATTCTTTGGCTTTATGAAATTTGGTTTTGATTCCTTACTTACCTCCACATACCAAATTCAATCTTGGCAGTGGTGCACTCTCACAAAAAAAAGAAGCACTAAATATACAGGATGCCCCTGCTGTTGTCTGGCAGCCAGATCATGTGTGTCCTGGTCACACATTTTCTCACAGGACTGAAGAGTTTTTCCAGAGCACACAATAATTACATAACAGCCACCATTCGCCACTCACAAGTATAAAACGCCTTTGGGAAGAAGATGGATGGCAGGCCGTGTTGCCCACATAGCAGGACCCCATTGTAGACTTTACTCATGCAAAATATGCTATTTGTAAACGTCTCTTTCCTGAGTCTTGGAATCTTCAGCCTGTCATGGATATGTAGTAGCTATACATACGATACAGGGCAGCATTGAACTCTGGGATCACTGTGCTGAGCTGTCAGCACTCTGCCTTACCCTGCAGGTTTCTTTCCTTCCCTGCCTCACACACACCCAAGAAAGTGATTATACTGCAGTGTATCTGGGAGAATCTGTTGGCTTCTCCCGGACACTGTAGCTGCACATTCCAAAATGAAGCAAAGATCAGGGAATTTGATTAATCACATCAGTACATATGTCTCACTTCAACAATCTAGATCCTGGAGTAGCTTTTTGCTCTAGATTTTGTACATTGATTGGAATGATAAGATAATTCATCCAAATCCACTTCGCTTTGTACCAATTTTTGAACTCCCTAGGTACATGAATTCTTAGCGGCTATCTCCACTGGAATAAATACACTATCCCCAGTACCATGCTTTACCATGCACAATACACAAACTAAAGCACACAGAGAAATATCCCAGAATCCTATCTATTTTAACCAGTCACCAACCCTAGAAATTTATTATGAATATTGGATATGAATAAGGTTGAAATCCAGATGAATACCTCCCCGCCACCACTATTTGCATGGTTTGTTTTTCTGAGTAGATATTATAAGTCATGAGGGCACAACAGTGGTACAAACAACACAAGCAGTGTAACTAAGCACCGAAGTTTAAAATAAATACTTTAAAATAGTTAATTATACTTTACTGTACAGGAAGAGAATGTTTTCTCAGTTCCCTGAAAATGCTTGATGACTAGTTTGAAGCTTTGTGGAGATCTAAAATTTGGCTGCCTATTTTTAAAATACTGAACTGGAGTTTAAAACAAGCTGTCCACTTCCAGAACATGACTCTTAACTGCATAGTCTCTTAAGTGTTGGTACGTAATAGGAAAATTGTAGTGGGAAAAATAGTGAAGGAAGATTTAGGCTACCAGATAGTAAATATGTCAAAAGTTATACAACTAAAACAGCCTGGTACAGGTTCGGCAAAAGGTAGATCAACATCACACAAAAAACAAAGTGCGAAATAGACCCACATATATCTGAGAACTTAGGAAGAAAACAAATTACATCTTACTCTTCCTCTCTTTCTGCCTATCACTTTATAAGAGTTCAATAAATATTGCATAATAATTAAGTCACTGTCAGGTTGCTAAAGGTATAAATGTAAAAAGGAAAACTAAGATTTTTTTTTAAGTCTTTTTTTTTTTTTTGAGTTAGAGTCTCACTCTGTCACCCAGACTGGAGTGCAGTGGCCGCTCCCGGCCACCGCAGCCTCGACCTGCTGGGCTCCGGCAATCCTTCCGCCTCAGCCTTCCAAGTAGCCGGAATTACAGGTGTACACTACCACGCCCGGCTGACTTTTTTTGATTTATTGTAGAGATGAGGTCTCGCTGCCCAGGCGGGTCTCGAACCCGCAGGCTCAGGCAATCCACTCACCTCAGCCTCCCAAAGGCGCGGGATTGCAGGTTGAGCCACGGAGCCCGGCTGAAAACTAAGATTTTGAGAAGGTATTTTAGATTCATATTTTTATACTCTTGAGCTGAAAAAGCTTTGTAAACAGTATCAAAACTGGAAGCCATCAAGGAATATATTAGCAAAATTTTACTATTGGAAAATGTAAAACTTGTGCATGTTTAAGCATACAAAGCCTCATAAATTATCCCAAGGCCCCTTCCTCAGATCTAATTCTAGAACCTTAAATAAACATGCCTAAAGAATATAAATAAGGGAGTAAATTAAATGAAAAAAATCATAATTCCACCATTGCTTAAATAACTCAGAAATAGCTGCACTACCATTCTTAGCCTTACCAGGCCCGATTAGTCCAGTGTACAAAGTAGATCATGTTTCTGTAGAGACAAAACCTGCCATCAGCCTTAATCTCTCACAAAACCTCAGCCCACATACAGCCATTAACTAAAGTAAACATGAAAAGAAAGAGAATTGTCAGTAAATTCTGCAAAGTTGAAAATCAAGCCATCAGTTTCAGTAATTCCCCAAAATAACAGCCAAACCCAAGCACTCTAGGGCTTAATGATTTTACAATTAGACCAATGCAAAGATTTTAGAAAGATTTTAAACATATAAATGATGGAGCATACACAGACACTTTTGTACCTAGTTAGTTTTAAGGTATGTACTCTGCCTAAGTGAGACACCATTAAGGGATTTAGGATTGAAAACCTGGTTAGAGAGATCAAGGTCAAATGAAAGCCCTAAGTAGTTTCTGAGAGACTCGCAACACCCTAAGCAAATGTAATCTGGTAGTTCTGAGGCTGTGTGCAATATGTTGCTCCATGGGTTCTTTGGCTTTGCCACAGAAAAGAAGTTCAAAGCAAGTCCAAAGTATAATTTAAGAAAGAATTTAGGGCGAGGATCAATGGCTCAGCCTGTAATCCCAGCACTTTGGGAGGCTGAGGCGAGTGGATTACCTGAGCCCACGGGTTCAAGACCAGCCTGTGCAACTTGGTGAGATCTCATCTTTACAATAAATCAAAAATTAGCTGGGTATGGAAGCACTCACTTATAGTTCTGACTACTTGGAAGGCTGAGGCAGAAGGATCACCTGAACCCAGCAGGTCAATGCTGGGGTGTCCGTGAGTGTGCCACTGCACTCCAGCCTGGGCAATAGAGTGAGACTCCAACTCAAAAAAAAAAAAAAAAAAAAAAAAAAGAAAATAATAATTTAATTAGAAAGAAAAGGGGCACACTCAAGAAAAAGCATGGGTGCCCTAAGAGAAAGGGTACGTGTTTGCCTTTGACAAGAAGCTTTATATACTTTTGCAATGATGATTTAGCAAACCATGAGCTAAGAGTAGAGGGCTGCAGGTATCTGGTCACGAGCGTTGATTATCATCTCTTAACTTTTAAGTTTGCAAGGACTTTCTAAATAATAAAAGTTATGCTCTAACTAGATTTGGGTTTTTCTTAGAACATCATGTCTGTGTTTTGGGTGATTCCCTATTAAGTTTCTGTGATTTACTGCACTGGTCATTCCACATTCCAACCCACAAGGTAGTCAGGTCTGATATGCCTATTTGGTCCAGTGAAGGTCATGTATGGATAAGAAAGATGCCTGAATGCTTACCCTATTTTAATCTAGACTTGCCTAAGAAATCCTACCTAACTACTTCTAATCTATGTTAACTATGCCTGTGTTAATTCCATCTAACTGACTGGCCTTAGCATGTGAATAAGGCCAAGTTTAAGCAGCTACAGTTTGGTTTAATTTTGTCCTACACCGTCCTATTTGTAAGTTTGCTCCCTTTAATTTGTAATCACCTCAGGTAATGGGATATTTCCATGCAGACGTGGGGCCTGTGTGCCCTACTCATCTTGTATCTTTCTCCATGAATTTGAATTGGGGTGATTCCTCAGAACCTATCCTAGTGAAATTAATATTCTCATCCTTTTATCAGTCACAATGACACGATGGGTTGATTCATTTGAACCTGGTGTCATATCATTAAAAGACCCCCAGAGAGGTCCCAGATCTTCCCCCCGAGAGGCTGCACCTCACACAATGTCATGAAGCATAAGGAAAATGACCCATATAACTCAGGTCCAAGAAAAGTGCCACTTTTGCTTCAAACTATTCAATAACAGGGGCAGTGTGGTGGGGGGAGTATTTAAGAGTAGGGGTAAAACAATCCTGGGATTATCTGTACTACCTTCAGTTTCTCTTTGCTTGGTATGTGATCCCACAAGCTGCTTCCATTGCATTAGGTAAAACAAGCAGAAAGGAGTTCTGGGGTCATTATTTTATGTTGGTGAAATTATATTAGAGCTCTTTAAGAAACCCCTCTTCTTTTTTTTTTTGGTTGCATGAGTACTCACTATAGGAGAAAATTGCCTTGGAAGTGGCATAGGTCTGTGATTAAATATTCATAGTGTCTGTGTTGGGGAAAAGGAGAGGGGTGTCAGACAGTCGTCGTAAAACTGGGCATTGTTGCCCAGCTCGGTGGCTCAGCCTGTAATCCCACGCCTTTGGGAGGCTGAGGTGAGTGGATTGCCTGAGCCCGCAGGTTCGAGACCCACCTGGGCAGCAAGACCTCATCTCTACAATAAATCAAAAAAATCAGCCGGACGTGGTAGCACATGCCTGTAATTCCAGCTACTCGGAAGGCTGAGGAGGAAGGATCGCGGAACGCAGCAGGTCGAGGCTGCGGTGGCCGGGAGCGGCCACTGCACTCCAGTCTCGGCGACAGAGTGAGACTCCAACTCAAAACAAAAAACAAAAAAAACTGAGCATTGTACCCTTTTGCCATGGAATGCAGAGTCCCATTCCCCCCCTCATGGGATCTGTGGACTGCAACACAGAACTATCAAAGGGGCTGATCAAGAAGGGCCCACCTGTGCCAGACCTAAGGTCCACACTTTAGAGGGTTCAGAGAGTAGTCTGATCATGACTTCACTGGTGCCGGAGTAGGTTCCTTTTTTCACATACACAGCAGCAGCATCCCTAGGTAGCTGAAGAAAGAGAAAATTCAACTCAGGTTTTAGCTATTAGGTCTTCCTAGCCTGGCACAGCATCCCCAAAAGTAGTGAGGGTGTTGGGTTGCCTACTTGGCCCAGACATTGATTACCCCCCATCGTGTCTCCTAATCCTCCATTGTCCCTTCCTGCCCCTCTCACCCCAGGTGTAGAAGACATCGTGGCCATAATGATTCCTGAGCCGAAAGGGAAGGAGATAGTGAGCCTGCTGGAAAGGAACATCACCGTGACAATGTACATCACCATCGGGACCCGGAACTTGCAGAAATATGTGAGCCGTACTTCGGTCGTCTTTATCTCCATCTCCTTCATCGTCCTGATGATCACTTCCCTCGCATGGCTCGTCTTTTACTATATCCAGAGGTTTCGATATGCAAATGCCAGGGACAGGAACCAGGTGAGTAGCGAGAAGTTAAACGATTAAAACATTTTTAGGGGCCGGGCTGGGTGGCTCAGTCTGTGATCCCAGCACTTTGGGAGGCCGAGGCGAGTGGATTGCCTGAGCCTGAGCCCACGGGTCCGAGACCAGATCGGGCAACTTGGCAAGACGTCGTCTCTACAAAAAAACAAAACATTAGCATGATAGCGTACACCTGTCGTTCTGGCTACTTGGAAGGTTGAGGCGGAAGGATGGCGGGAGCCCAGCAGGTCAATGCTGGGGTGGCCATGAGCGTGCCATTGCACTCCAGCCTGGATGATGGAGTGAGACACCGACTCAAAAAAAATTTTTTTTTAATTTATTACAAAAGTAATATTTATGATTGTATAAACTGGGAACATCACAGAAAATACCAAGACAAAATCAAATTCCCTATTATACCTCCACCGTTAACACTTCTTATATAGTTTTTCAGATGTTTCCCAAATGTACCTATTTTGGTGCTTTACTAGCTTTCTGTTAAATGGAGGTGATTTGTCCCACATTCTTATGGCCTGTTTTTTGACATTTATTTACACACATAATAAGGTGAGAAAAGGGAAGTGAGCCAAGATTAGATTAATAGTGTGAACAGAATTTGGAAAGAGCCAGGATTTCCATAAACAAAAGAAGAGGAGATAAAATTAAAAGCTATTTTAAATAGCAATTAAACATATAATATAGACTCATGACATAAAATGCAAAAGGCATAAAATGGTATATAATGTGTGTCTCTCAGTTACCCAGCTCACCTCCTAGGATTATCTCTTCCAGGGATATTTTATGCACTTATAAACACATATAGTTGTGTGTTTGCCTGTTAGATCATTTTTAGTTAGTTAATTAAACAAGTGATAGCACACTTAATTCTGTACATTTCTCTCACTTGCTTCTGAGAATTAATTCACATCAACACACCAACCAAGCTGTCTTCTCATTTCTTTTTCTTTTTTTTTTTTTCTTTTTGAGTTGGAGTCTCACTCTCTCACCCAGACTGGAGTGCAGTGGCACACTTCCGGCCACCGCAGCCTCAACCTGCTGGGCTCCGGCAATCCTTCTGCCTCAGCCTTCCAAGTAGCTGGAACTACAGGCATGTGCTACCATGCCCGGCTAGTTTTTTATTTATTGTCTCACCAAGTTGCCTGGGTGGGTCTTGAACCTGCGGGCTCAGGCAATCCACTCACCTCGGCCTCCCAAAGCGTGGGATTTCAGGCTGAGCCTGGCCTGTCTTCTCATTTCTAATGACTTCATTGCATTTCATTTTCATATTTATTTAGCCAGCACCTATTAATGGACATATTTGCTCTTATTAAAAAAATCACACATGACATTTAGCACATTTGTAAATATATCAAAGCTAAATCCTGGAAGTTTAATTACTAGGGAAATGGTGTGTGTATTTTAAATTATGCTAGATATTGCCACATTGTCTGCCAAAAAAACTTTGAACCAATTTACTTTTACCACAACAATATACAAAAATTAGTGTTTCTCTTCACAAAGTGGTGATTTTATCTTTTGGAGGTATATGCCCAGAAGAGGATCGCTGGGTAATAAAGGTAGTTTTATTTTTAATTTCTTTAGGAACCCCCTTGCTGTTTTCCATAATGGCTGCATCAATCTACAGTCCTACCAAGAGTGTACTAGGGTTCCCTTTTCTCCACAACCTGGGCTACAGTTATTATCTCTTGTCTTTTTAATTTTTTTTTATTTTTATAATAGCCATCCTAATAGGTATGAAGTGTTATACCTGTGAATACCTAATCACAGTGGTATTCATATAGTTCTGCATATCTATAGGCCACGGGTGCAGAAGAACATTCTCTCAGGTTTCTCTCCTCTACTTTTTAAATTTAATTTTTATGATTAAATCTTCAGTCTGTAGAGAACTCATTTCAGCATAAAGAATAGAGAGCCAACATTACTTGCTTTCAAATGGCCTACCATTTTTGTAATTTATTTAATCATTAATCTTTCTCCCCTCCTCATGTGCAAAATCTTTATCATCACAGCTACTTATATGCAGCTGGAGACCCTCATACTATGTGAACAACCACGGAAACAAAGTGAACACCACATGTTCTCACTCATAAGCAGGCCCTGATCACGGGTCACACAAGCACTAACGTGGGATTGGCTATGCCCATATAAACTTGGTTCTATCTCTATGCTCTCTAAACTGTGCCATTAATCTGTGTATTCATACTCCAGTGCCATATTGCTTTGAGTATTCTAGAATTATATCTTACAGCTATTCATGCTAATTTCCTTTATTGCTCTATTTTCACTCTTCGTGTTAGTATGAACTTAGACTAACTATATCTGTTTTTTTTAATTTACAGAATATCATAGGAGAAATGTGTAACTTTATGATGTTGAATCTTTCTTTTCAAGTATTTGTTTTTTCCTTATTCAAATCTTTGTTTTATTCCAAGTAGTGCTTTTTAATACTTAATCTCATACATTTTTCTTATGCTTAATACAGGGTTTTTTTTTATTTTAAAGATGTGGGGTACAATTCAGGGTTAGGTATACAAATGTTCATTATGCAGGTACCTTTGTTGATGAGGTGTGCTCCTCCCCTCCCCGACCACCCAGCAGTTTCCCACTACTGCCAATCCCTTTCTTACAATATCATGATAATTGTTCAAGGTTCACTTATGAATGAGAACGTGTGGTACTCAGTTCTTTGTTTCTGTGATAGATCACTCAGTATTATAGACTCTAAGTCCTTCCTAGTTGCTGCAAAATTCATAATTTTGTGCTTCCTATGGCTGTGTAATATTCCGTCGTGTATATGTGCCACGTCTTTTTTATCCAGTCCTCTTTCGATGGGCAGCACGGATGGTTGCATGTTCTTGCTACTGTGAACAATGCTGCAATAAACATATGTGTGCAGTTATCTTTTTCATAGAGTGATTTGAGTTCCTCCAGGTATATTCCCAGTAGGGGTATTGCGGGATCGCATGGAAGGTTGATTTTTGGATCTTTTAGGAATCGCCCCACTGTTTTTCACAGAGGTTGTACTAGTTTACACTCCCACCAATTTGATTATTATCTTTCTGTTAGAAATTACATTCTATTTTACATATAGAAAGCATTTGAGTGTTGCAAATTTTGCACATTATCAACAGCCTCATTATTATCACCTTAATAATAAAAATAGTAATGGGTAGTATTTATTATATCCAAACATGTTCTAAACACTCTCCACATGTGTTTACCTAAGTAGTTTCCTTAATAATTCTATAGATAAGTTTATTGTTCTCATTTTACAGAGGTGGAAACTAAACAAAGAGAGGTTAAATAACTTTCCCAAGATCACACAGCTAGTTACTCATAGAGTCAGCAATTGTACCAGCAGTCCATGCTCTTAAAAACTACATTGTAGTATTTGTAATTGTGTGTATTCATTTATCAGAACTACATTCATAATATCCATAGTCACTGATCACGTATATTTTTCAAATTTTCAGCTTTCTATTTTTTTTCTGTTTCTAATTTCATTGATTTGTACCTCCAGATTAATCTAAAGTAATAGTGGTTATAGTGAACATGTTTATCTTCATTCCATATTTAATAGGAGCATATTCAGTTTAATGGGATTGTTTTCATGATTTCTTCATTATACTATTTCTCCATGTAGTCTTCTAGGTTGAGATGTATATTTTAGGATATCATAAAATGTATAATGTCAGGAATGTCATATTATTTCTATTTTATTAAAAGTTTTGAATAAAGAATAGAGGTTTAACAGACCCAACACAGATGATAATCAAAAATGGACTGGATAAAGAAAATGTGGCATATATACATAATGGAATATTATGCAGCCATAAAGAAGAACAAAATCATGGCTCTTGCAGCCACTTGTATGCAGCTGGAGACCATCATATTAGGCAAACTATTGCTGAAACAAAGAACTGAATGCTGCATGTTCTTGCTCATAAGTGAGGCCTGTTCACTGGTCACACGAGCAGAAGGATAGGATTGGCAGATGCTGGACACTGCTTGGGGTGAAGAGAGGAAGTGGAGGCATGTGGCAACACACTGGGTATCTAGTCCACTATCAGGGGAGAGAGGGCCAGCTAGAAGCATGTAGCCTACTTATATAATAAATCTCACTTGTATTCCACAACTCTAAAATTTTTTAAAAAATTTTTTTAAACATGTTTAAACAACTGCCTTTTCAATGACTTTTTTTAAAACATGTTTAAACAACTGCCTTTTCAATGACTTTGGAGTAAGTTTTCTCTTTTGATTTATTAAAGGAATGGATTATATTAATGGACTTCTTGATATGAACTATACTGAATTTTCAGTAAATACTATTCCTCTAATGTGTGTTAGATTATATTTGTCAGTATTTTATTTAGTATATTATTTATTTTTTTACCTTTATATTCATATGTGAAATTTGTTCATAGAATACATTTTTATCATGTGGAGGTAGCATATTTACATGGCTACCCTCCGGCAATGCATTTCTAGGACATTTTCATCATTGCAGAAAGTCCTTTCGGGCAGCTCTGCTCCAGAGCGTTTTAAATAGCCCTGGAACTGGCTGATCCTGAAAGTATTAGTAGAAATTTTCTGTAAATTAATAAGATTGGAGTTTGTGTTTGTTTTAGGAGGATGACTCTTTCTTTTCTATTTATTTTGTGGCAATTGCTTTGTTTAAAGTATTGGTTGCTTCTGGAACAATTTTTAAAAACATTTTATTGCTTTATATTGCTTTCTTCTGACTCTTCAAATGATCCATGCTCATTTTAATACATTTTGGCAGTCATGGAAAAACACTGAAAGAAAAAGCAAGTTGCCCACCATGCCGCTGAATTGTTAACAATTGGTTATGTTACCTTTTAGGTATTTTTAACCCTCTACATATACTTTCACAAATTATCATTATATGTGTTTCTGTGTATGTATAAGACACAAACACATACAAATAAATTTTATGTTCTACCTTTTATTAAACA